TGATATTTATTTTATATATTTAAATACCATTTAACAAAGAAAAATCAACCAAAAAAATGAGTTCGCGTGTCATAGGTTCACCATCACCGGGCTGCACCAGCCTGCATTCCCACCAGCAGTGCATGAGGATTCCTTTTCTCCACATCCTCGCCAGCATGTGCTTGTGGATTTACTGGTGGTAGCCATTCTGGCAGGTGCGAGGTGAGACCTCATTGTGGTTTTAATTTGCATCTCTCTGATGATTAGTGATATCTGGTATCTTTTCATACGTCTGTTGGCCATCTGGATGTCTTCTTTGGAGAAATGTCTTTTCAGCCTTCTGTCTATTTTTTGATCAGATGGTTTATTATTTTTTTTTGTTATCATGTTGTATGAGTTCTTTATATATGTTGAATATTAACCTTTTCTCAAATATATCATTTATGAATGTGATCTCCCACTCAGTAGACTGTCTTTCTGTTTTCTTGCCGGTTTCCTTTGCTGTGCAGCAGCTTTTCAGTTTGATAAACCAATGTGTCCAAAGACAGCTCAGAGAGCATCACTTGATAGGAAAGTCTGAGCAAGAAACAAACTTTTGGCAAACAGGGAGACCGCCAAACGGAGCGTGGCCCTGGCTGGCGGCTCAGTTGGGTGGAGCGTCATCCCGTAAACCAAAAGGTTTTGGCTTCAGTTCCCAGTCAGGGCACAAACACAGGTTTTAGGTTCAATCCCTAGTAGGACACATATGTGGGTTTTGGGTTTGATTCCCAATCAGGGCACATACCTAGGTTGCAGGTTCAATCCCCAGGCACATATGCAGGTTTTGAATTCAATCTCTGCTCAGGGCACATACGTAGGTTTCGGGTTCAATCCCAAGTCAAGACACATACACATAGGTGGGTTGTGAATTCAATCCCTGGTCAGGGTTTGGGGTTCAGTTCCCAGTCAGGACACATACCCCAAGCTGTGGAGCCCCGGTGCCTGTCCTCTGCCTGAAGACCCCAGGGAAAGAATTTGCAGGTGGGAGTAACCAGGGTTCTTCGAGCAGCGTGGTAGGCCTAGCGGGGCGGGCAGGAAGAGCTGGGGGGAGGTACCTGCTTGGTGCTTGGATTCACCCCCTGGTTCCCCATCTCGTCCTTGGCAGGTACAACTTTGCTTCCAACGTTGGAGAGAGCGCAGACTTCTTTAAGGCCCTCGTTCACAACCCCAACCTGACCTACCTGAACCTGCACGGCACCAACCTGTCCTCCGAGGAGGTCGCGCAGCTGAGCGAGGCGCTGAGGCACCCCATGTGCAGCATCCAACAGCTGATGTGAGTCTCCACAGCAGCTGTGGGGAACGACGTGTTTTTGACGCTCAGAATCTTTGACTTTCCTTACTGCCTCTCAGTACCTGCCCGCGGGCGAGGGCCAGGAGATGGTTTTCTAACCGCATTAGGGCTCAGACGGGGTTTTTCTCAACCTCAGAGCTACTGACAAATCATCAGCTCATCAGATCGAGCGCCAGGTAATCCTCTGTTGCGGAGGGGGGCGCTATTGACCCCCAGGCCAACCACACACACATGTCTCCAGACGCCGGGAAACATCTGCGTATGTCAACAGTCATTGTGAGAACCACACACTCCGACTTCTTTCTAATGTCAGTGAAAGGCAACCACAGGCTAATAAGGAGAGCCTGGCTGGTGTGGCTCAGTGGATAGAGTGTCGGCCTGAGGACTGAAAGGTCCCAGGTTCGATTCCCATCAAGGGCACACGCCCGGGTTTTGGGCTTGATTCCCAGTAGGGGGTGTGCAGGAGGCAGCCAGTCAATGCTCCTCTCTCATCACTGTTGCTTCTCTCTGCCTCTCCCTCTCCCTTTCTCTCTGATATCAATACAAATATTTTTAAAATATATTTTATTGATTTTTTACGGAGAGGAAGGGAGAGGGACAGAGAGCTAGAAACATTGATGAGAGAAGCATCAATCAGCTGCCTCCTGCACACCCCGCACTGGGGATGTGCCCACAACTAAGGCACATGCCCTTGACTGGAATCAAACCTGGGACCTTTCAGTCTGCAGGCCGACGCTCTATCCACTGAGCCTAACCGGTTAGGGCAGTCTTTCCCTATTTTAATTTTTCAAACCTGTCTGAGACACTCCAGTCCTCAGCCATTCTTGTTTATAGCTCTAGTTAGTTTTCACGAGACTTTCCAAAGACTTTTGGGTATAGTTTCTTCCTTTCTCAATGAAAATGTTAATACCCTAACATTGAGTATCCATTTTATTTATCCATTCTTACCTATCCCGATGGTACCTACATGAAGGTACCAGGTAAGAGCTTGGTGGTACCCTTGCTCCCACTTGTTAAGGTAGCTGATACTCAGGACATTTCACATGCAAAGAATTTTGGATTTGTTCTTTAAATTCAAAATAGAGACGGACATAGGAGAGGTTTTATGGTGTTAAGTGAGCTGTTTTCAGTTTCCTGGATCGAAGTGGCCTTATTTCTTCCAACTATAATTTGAACACAGAAGGAAAGAAAAGTGTGGGGAGAAAAACATACAATAAGTGAACAGTGTGAAATGTTACTGCCAGCGCTGCAGAGAATAGTTTTTGTTTGTTAATATTTTTACCCAAAGGAGAACCCATGGCGTTGTGATTACTTCAAAACTGCCACTTTCACACAAATTGCTGTCCTAATTTAGCGACTTAACAGACTTCCCTCTTCTAAAGGAGAGGTTGGTGGTCCATGAGACTGTTTGTTGGTTAACAGTTTAAAAAAATTAAAGACGAACGAATATAATTTTTAATATAAAGCTTTGGGTGTTAAGATGCAGGATCCTGCACAAGAATGTTTGTCTCCATGGCTCCCTGTGCCCCCGCCCCTCCTGCCGATAAAATCCTGTTCAACTTTCAGACTGTTGAGGTGAAAGTTCTAAGGACTAAAATGGTGGGGTGAAGGGAAGGGGAGGGTAGAGAAGAGGGAGGAGAGAGGGAAGTGAGATCATGTGGTATTTTTCCTTCATTGACTGGCTTATTTCACTTAGCACAATGCTCTCCAGTTCCATCCATGCTGTTGCAAATGGTAAGAATATATTTTAAAAAATATATTTTTTAAAATTACACTTGACATACAATAACATATTACTTTCAGGTATACAGGCTAGTGATTAGACATTTATATAGTTTACAAAGGGATCCCCCAGTAAGTCTAGTCCCCACCTGGCACCATACACAGTTATTACAATATTATTTTTTATATAGTTTTTATATTTTTATTGATTTCAGAGAGGAAGGGAGAGAGAGAGAGAGAGAGAGAGAGAGAGAGACATCAATAATGAGAGAGAATCATTGGTTGGCTGCCTCCTGCACATCCCCTGCTGGGGATCGAGCCCACAATCCCGGGCATGTGCCCTTGACAGGAATTGAACCTGGGGCCCTTCAGTCCGCAGGTTGATGCTCTATCCACTGAGCCAAACTGACTAGGGCAATTACTACAATATTATTGACTATATTCCCTGTCCTGTACTTTACATCCTGGTGGTTTTTATACCTGGTAATTTGAACTTCTTAATCCCTTCATCTTTTCCACCCTGCCCTCCAAGACCCCTTCTCTCTGGTGACCCTCAGTCTGTTCTTTTAAATATATATATAATTATTGATTTCAGGAAGGAAAAGAGAGGGAGAGAGAGAGAGAAACATCAATGATGGGAGAGAATAATTGATTGGCTGCCTCCTGCACGCCCCTCACTGGGGAGAGAACCCACAACTCAGGCATGTGCCCTTGACCCTAATAGGGCCGGGAACCTTCAGTCCCAGGGCGGCGCTGTATCCACTGGGCAACACCAGCCAGGGCCCTGTGCCTGGCACTTTGTATTTGTACTTCTTGATCCCTTCACCTTTCCCACCCGCTCCCAAGCCCCTTCCCTTTGGCGACCCTCGGTCTGTTCTGTTTGTCTCTTTGCCAATGAGCCCTGCACCGCCTTGCTCACCGCCCTGCGCCCCGTGTCCCCTCCTCGCTCCGGCAGGCTGGGCAAGTGCGACATCACCGACGAGGCCTGCGAAGACATCGCGCTGCTCCTGGTGAGCAGCCGGAAGCTGAAGCTGGTGTCGCTGATGGAGAACCCGGTGATGGACAGCGGCGCCCTGCTGCTCAGCGAGGCGCTCAAGCACCCGGACTGCGAGCTGGAGTCGCTGCTGTAAGTGTGTCCAGGTGGCGGCCTCACGGACCCCTCAGCCCTCAGGGCAACCCAAGCTGCCCTGGCCGGTGTGGCCCAGAGGATAGAGCCTCGGCCTGACGACTCAAGGGTCCTGGGTTCTATTCCCCTCAAGGGCACATGCCCGGGTTGCGGGCTGGATTACCGTGTGGGACGTGCAGGAGGCAGCCAATCAGTGATTCTCTCGTCATTGATGTTTCTCTCTCTCTCTCTCTCTCTCTCTCTCTCCCTCTCCCCCCCTCTCTTCCTCTCTGAAATCAATACAAATATATTTTTAGAAAGAAAAGAAAAAAGGGGCCCTTCCCCTCCAGCGCCCGACACCTCGCGCGGCTCTCCCACCCCCATGTTGCTCTCTTCCCTCCCCCTGGGAAGGGGTGTCGGGGAGGGGCGGGGGCGAGGC